AGTTCTATGTGTCTATATGATTCATCAACTATGTAAAGTTCAAGAAACTTCTCTAGCTAAACTAATAAAGCAATTTCCTAAGGTTATAATAATTAAACTGATACTTATAATTGAATACTTATGAGTCAAAAGTACTAATAATACTAAAAGTGGTTAATTAATGTAAATAACTAATAAAACTAAATTATATTATAAGAAATGTTTCATATTATAATAAACTCAGCCATAATCATAGGATTTCTGCGTACTACATCATGTGACTTGTTCGATCTTCAACTATTTCATGGGCAACCCTAACAATAATCTTTGATTAATTCTATCTCAAGCAAAAATTTTGGTAACACTAGCAATAATAGCGTAGTCATTACCTAGCGATTGTTATTTTTATTATTTAGTCTTAGCTAATTTTATCGTATTTTGCGTTATATATATGTGGGACATGTGATCAAGAGAACTAATTTATAATACTCGTATAACGTTATACTTACTATTATCGTAGGAATTATTGGATGCAGGAGTATTGCACGACTACTCATACTTTTTCAACTCGGTATTTTTACTCATTTCTTTCGTTAATTTACCTTTTACGTTTCAAATAAAAAAACGAGAAATAGCTAATAGCTTATTGTTTTAACGTCACCGTGGAAAGTATTACTTATACCACTTTCAACTCAATAATTCGCTTTTATTCTTATTTGTGCCAACCAGCTTTTATATTCTTTATTCGCGTTGCATATGAAACTGATAAATCCGAGAGTGCATTACATTCTGGCCAGCTTCGGGAATACAATAACTTTTTCTGATCCATGGTTGTTTTGCGTCGTTTCCGGTTTAATGATTTTTCATAAACTTCTAATGTGTGTCTTAAATACTACTCAATTCGATTAGACTTCCCGGAAATTCTGTCGGGATACACGAGAGTCTCTGATAACAAGACTTCGGGAGTGTATCAATAATACGTTTATAGTCGGGCTTAAGTGGTTTAATTATATCTACCAGAGTTTCTTTGCAAACTTTTTTGCCTGAAAATTGAATTCGCCTATAATTTTTAATAAATGACACAGATAGATATTGTTGAATCGCAAGAAAGAATTAAAAGCCGTGATAAAACAATAGCTTTATTAAAGAAACAGCTTCTGGATAATGATTGTGTTGAATTGGGCAACACGAATGGTTCAATTTATCCTTTTTAAATTCATTATCTTTCGATTTTGTGTTATCGGCATTTTGACAGGAAAAGTTTAATGAGAAGATTAGTAATCAATATAGTTTATTCTTAAAAGTGTCTATAACATCATCATCATTATCATAGCTAGTAGGACTTATATATAAAAAATCTCGCAGAGATAAAGAAATTCCAGAGCTAAACCAATGTTCGGAATGCAACAATGAAATTTTAACGCGTCTTCCGAAGGTGATTACTAACCTCAGATGTGGCCATATCTATTACAGGATATGTATCGAAAAAAAGCTTCTGCTTACCAAGAAAGAATGTAGTCATCATAGAATCATTTTTACTATACAAAATTCACAATCATCGCAATCGAGTGGAATTTCAACCCTATCCAACTTAATGAACGAAAGCTTCATCCTAACTTCACCAACCATACAGTTTGATACAGTAGCCAAAAGAAACCTGTTCAAGAGGTCACTTTAACGTTTATTCGGGAATTATCTTCTGATACCACTTGAAATTCCGAAAGAAAAGGTCTTGAAATTGAGAGTATCCGAACCTTTTTTGATTTGTATTTAAGATTTCTACTGTAATGCTGAAGAGCGAAATAAAAGCGCCCGCCATGAGCTATTAAGGAGCTATTATTTCTTCGGAGAAGAACTAGAGAAACGCCTTGCCCACTATAGAAAACTAAAGGGGAGCATGAAGCCCTAAAGAAGCTCTATGATGAGGTTAAAGATCAGCTTCTCTCCAAAGAGGTTACCAAAAGAGCTCTCGGAAAAAAATCAGACAGGATGAGGAAGGCTTATGATCCTTTATTCCGTATTAGTGATGATAAAATTCAACGGACGATATCGCAGTCCACTGGATATAACGAACCTGGATATACCAAAAACTCGTTATATCGAACCAAATAGTGCAGAACCGATTTTCTTATAATTAACCGTATTGATCAAATATATTAGCCACACGTGAATTAAAAATTGGTTATAGGATAATCGGATAATCATTTACGCGGATAAACTTTTGCTACAATATAATTTATAATTCATTTAATAATTTTTTAATCATGTAAAAATAAATAATTGTTTGACTTGATTTTATTGATAGAATCTATATACCGAACTGTTCGGTATATAAATTAAAGTATTATATAACGTATTCACTTATACCGATCGGTTCGTTATATCCAGTATATATAGTATTAAACTTTTATAAGCCATCATCATTATTATTTTATTAACCATTATTTCTTGCACATCCCTTAACTAAACGGTAATAAAACACAGTCAAATAAATTTTTTTTTATAATCTAAGTACAGTATATAATATCAAATATAAATCTAGATTTTCCGAGTCAATATCATAGATCATTACATCAGAGTAAAAATTTTCATTATATTTTCACACAATATCCCATAATTTTTTAAAATGCCAGAAACACTACAAAGCCAACCATTATACGGGTGGTGGAAGTGGGCAAATCTTGCCTATTGCTTCTGACTCAGATAAAGATACACGAGCTATACATGTAAACAATGAGATAAGGTCTATATATAGATTTGGATATGGGAAAAACTATACAAAATGCTCAAATCCTCAAATAAACAATTAAATTGGAAAAATACACAGAAAAATGGTCATTGCCAGATTTTGTAAGTTATGTTTAAAAAAACTTTATAAAACTTGTGATGCCAAAACAGTACATAAAGATTTATAATATTCTTATGAAACGATTTTAAAGGAATCTTTACCAGAAGATTTTGTTAACCAGGCAAGAATTTTAATTAAATCTAAACCATTCAATGATTCGTGTCATTGATTTCTTTCTTGCAATGAAATCAGAATCCTGATAGTTCTGTTATTTTTTTTACCATACAATGTGAGCTTTTCAGGATTTTTGAGCTATCTTATCATACAAAGTTCCTTTATATAAATTTTAGCTGAAACAAGATTTCTGCTATCTTCTTACCATACAAGGTCTTTGTGTAGATTATAACAGAATTCAAGTCTCTGACAACTACTTTTTTCTTATTACAGTAGGATGACCAGCTGATAGAGACAGAGTTAAAAGTTCTTTGGTTTGTTAAGGTCTATTTTTTCTAGAGGAGAAATCAATTACGTACTTTCCTTAATATTTCATATGTCATGTGGGTTGAAAGCCATACCTGCATCAAGGTCCACAAGCAAATAAACACAAGATAATCAAAGAATACTAAGAAATATAAAAAGTTGTTATAAACGATTTGAATTTAAAAGTTAGAAAAATATTTATTTTTTAATTTAATAATTTTTTAAATTTATATTAATGAATTGATTCAATTTGATAATTCTAGAAAAAGGAACTAGAACTCAAAGAACAGGAAATTGGTTTGAAAGAAAGGGAAGCGAGAATTCGTGCGCTCGAAAAACTCGCGATTTTTGATCTAGTAGTGATAAATTTTAATTAGTAATTAGTAAAATGCTTATTCTTCTTATAATGTATTAGTGCGAATTCTGTATCAGAAAAGAATTTAGTTAGTGTTTGTGATCATTTTCAAGTTGGTGCATCTGATGATTCTAATTCATATCAACATTGGTCATTACGAAAGGTTGAAGGTAAAAATAATCATGTTTATAATATCATAAATGTAGGATCAGTACAAATTTAGATAATAATGGTGAAGGAGTATATGTTAGTAGTCTTGAACATGATTTTAATACTAATCCTTGTCAACATTGGATATTTATAAAAATCAAAAATAACATACTGTATAATATTGCTAATGTTAGAAATGAATCTAGAAGTTTAGATGAAGGTTTGTATAATAATTCAATTCTACTTGATTTTAATGAAATAATACAATATTACTAGTATATTTTATTCATTAGCTTGTCATAAATGTAGCATTTGGTTTTGATACCTACGTAGTAATGAGGCATGGCGTCAAAGATCTTGATTTCACTTCGAAATCAAAATATTATAATTTAGGTGAAGAGAGCGTGATATATAAATGGGTATTTTTACGCAAATTCCTCGCCATGTAAATATAAGTTCTTATTTCTCTAGACAGGTCCTCTATACGCAAATTTATTTTTTGGAATCTAGTAATAATCAGACTGAACAACAAGTTCGAACGCTTATCGACGTACGTAAGTAAAAAACAACAATGAATTGTATTATAAAATACATAAGGGCGAGAAACCATCTATCTGGACAGGCATGGCTAGAAACGGTTAATCAGCAAACACCAATCAAATTTCAATGGATCGGAGTGTAATAGAAGGTTCCGCGTACTATCTAAATAGTGTTGAAATTTATTGCTGAAAGCGGTTACATTCTGGCTAATCGCTTTCTGACAATTATGATTAAAAACTAAAAAAGGAAAGTAAGAAAAGTTTTTAAAAATATTACGAATTTAAAACGGAATTCTGGAAAAGGCCGGATACTCATCATTCACATATTTTTGAAGTGGCAGACTGGCAGCATTAATCAAGATTTACTTTATATCTAGACGAACAAGTCCGTAATACCAAATTACCAAATAGGAAGGTCGATGATTAATGAAGAGGGGAGCTCATTGTCATCTTCAGTAGCATCACAATAAAGACTATCAAGACCTGTGACACGTGGTACCGCAGCAATTTTGATAGTGTCACACAATCAGATTCTTTTTTTCGTGTTATACATTTTTCTTGGTGTTGTACATTTTTCTTTTACAAAAATTTTTTTTTTTAAAAAAAAAGAAAATGGATGTATCTAAATTTTCAACATTAACATGGACAATTATATTTTTAATAACAAATATGATTTTATCATATCTTTTATTCAATATTATAAGTTTAGAACCATCATTTTTATCAATTTCAATTTTAACAATTTGTACTCCTATTATAGTTTTTGCAGTCGTTAATACTTTCCTGGCCTCTCCCACTTCTAAACCTTCACCTATTGTTATTACTATTCCTCCACCTCCACCACCTTCTTCTTCTTCAGCTCCTTCTTCTTCAACTAAACAAAAGTCAAGTTGAGCTTTGTTTTATAAGAAAACAAGAATTTTAAAAGAAATTGGAGTAACATAATATTTATATGGATTTCGGTGAATAATTTAATTTCTTTGGGTTATTTTTAAATAGAAAAATACAAGACATTTTTCTTTCTAGAAGATCTAATTCTCTTAAAAAAAATTATTTAATTTAATTTTATTTAAGGATATTTAGTGATCGATTGTATTGGCGTAATATCATTAAACAAAAATTTATGGTTTTTTGATTTAATTGTACCTCGAGAGTATCTATATAGAATTTGTATCAGTTGGAATGTGCCTTTTAAGTCTCGATTAAAATATATAATTTTATAATTAAGAGAGGTGGGAATTTTGTGTTTAGTTAATCGAACATTTTGTAAATTCATTACGTTATGAATTTATCATCTTTAACAACAAAGATATTTTCCATGCCACCACAAAATCTTTTGAAGAGATTTATGAATATGATAAGAATAGTGTTGTTTCATATTTACAAAGAGAAAACTGCGTAGATTCAAAAGACTCGAGTTTTCTACGAGAAAAATATCAATGGTCAAACGTTTCTTCACTTATCAAATAAAAAACTTACCAATTCGTTCAACCTTTTACAAGAACATTGCTAAAAAAACAGCCGAGTTAGTTGAAAAGTTTAATGAAGAGAATAAATTGGGAAAATTTTGTCGAGTAGACGACATTGTAGCCAGACTAGAGCATTGTGAATTCGTATTAGTTCTTATCAAGTTACTAAAATGAAGGAGGCAAATATTACTGGTGAATCAAAGAACCTGAATATTTTTCAAAGTTGGTGCTCGGAAATCTCATGTCACAAATTAATAGCGTTAAAAAAAAAGAGCAGGTGAATTTTTTTTACGTTAGCGTATTATTACAGGTTTGTAAAATACTGATCTCCACTTCCTTTAACAGAAAAATGGATCCTACAGAGGCATTTTACAATGATCTCATTCACGAAAATGATTCAAATTTCAGATACATTTTTTTTTTGATCGATAGAACATTTATTATACATATTAATTTTACATAGAAATATTGGATGTTTTACTTCAGAGATTCAAAGAAAATTAATATTAGCAATAGTATGTAAAATAATATTACGCAGGGACTCGCATTATATGGCATGTAATATATTCGATTATATGTAATAAATTTATTTGAATCAATGTTATAAAGCAATGAAATTAATTTCTCTAATTTAAGCTATATTTCGATTATTGTAATTAAATTTTATTTGAAACGTTCTCATAAAAAAATTTACCATAATTTAAGTAATATTTCCATCATATAAACTAATATTCTAGATAAGGCAAGAAATCTTTCGAGAACCTGTTGATTCGCGCGCGTAGATCTTTACTATCTACAAATTTTTTATTTATACGTTCAAAAACAATACTTTGCGATCATAGTGTTAATTTCGTAATTAGAATCCAATAATCTTTCCTCTTATAACTTGTAATTCCCCAAATGATGCTGTCTTCTTCATCGAATGGTTTGTGGACTTTACTTTTTGCAGCTGATTTGTATTGACATTATTTTAACTTGGGCTACAAAAGAGTGAATTTTCCAGTAAGAAAAAAAAATAATTATCTTTAAAAATATTAACCTACCAGCAGCAAATTGGGCACGAGAGGGATATGTCTTTCCATAAAAATATTAAAGTTATCTTTGTCAACAATAGCGCATACTCCCACTTTTTTCGTTTTTTTGAAACATGTTTGTGTTTGCAATGATGTTTTGACGGGAATCTTACCAGCATTGTTGTAGAAATAAGAAATTTTTAACTCAAAAAGAATGTAAAGGTAAGTTTTAAATATTAATAAATATTGGGAGGTAAATAATGTTGTGAGGTTTCGGATTGAGGGTGATGAGGATAACATTTGTTGAGAGAAATTCTGTTGAAAACAGTATCAATATCTACTGCGCCCAGCTATCAGATAATGATATTCGCAACCTTCTTTGCCTTATAAGCGATTGGATTTGTTGATCAGAACCTCTAGTGGAGCTATACCGAAGGATATTACTACAAATGACGCAGGTAGGCCGGAAGGGGAAGAGGTTTGGCGAGTATTGGACATTTTGATTGTAACATCAGCTTTCCTTTTATGTTTAAGAGATAAATCCATCACCTTCGGAATATTATATCTGTATAAAGGAGCGATGTGGAAGTGTGTTTGCAGGTCCGAAGATATAAATATGATTGAGTAGTAAAGATGACTGTAAATGAGCTCATGACCGTTCTTCGGATTCTTTCTCGTATCGCTCGTATCGATGTGCTTTTTTTGTCTTCATTGTTTTTTGTCACTTGGCCGGCTGCTCGATATCCGTCTGCCTATGAATTGCCTTATAATTTTCATACATATTTTTAATATTAGAAATAAGCCCATTTAAATTCTTGATGTCTTCATAAATATTTATATATAAATCGAGTTCCTTTTGCTTCTTGGCCTTGGAATATTTAAAATTTAATATTGCAAGATCCGATGTGCCCTTAATGTTAAAGGGAAGCCATGACGAGTCTGTGACAGTTAGGAATTTTCGATTATCCTTTGTATATATGTAAGCTTTGAATCTTCCTCATCCTCATTATTATAAATTTTACTATTATCATTAATGAAATGTTACGTCGTTATCTAACATATTATAATTTATCCGATTAATAAGGTGATGCGTACAAACAGAATTATAATTAGGAATATCTACATCTACGTCCACAATCATACAATATATTTCATAATACGTCTCATTTGTTGTTTAAGCTCAACATTTCGTTTTGTAAGTTGATCTATTTTCTTTTCTAGTTTATTATTTTGGATAGCCTGATGTCTTGCTAAGTCCATCAAATGTTGTCGCGTCTGAATACAAAATGATGGATAATAGCCGGTTTAAGGGTGGAAGACTCGCCTCCGTTTCTAACCACCAGTTGCCTTCATAAGGTACGCCAAATACTCTTATCTATCTTCGTTGTCATTTATTTTTTTTTTTACTGTTTGAATAACTTGCTCCTTTTATCGGTTCCCCCATTATCCAATTTTTTCTTTAATCTTTCCTCAACTGATCCTTCATTAATTTTTATATATGTAGATTCTTTAATTTTTTCAATTATTTCTTTCCATTAAAATTCTCCCTTATTTTCCCAATCAAATCGAATATCATTAATTTCTAATTTTATCGCATCTCTAATTCTTTTAGAAAATAAACTTCCCTTTACTACCATTTCAAATAATTTATTCTTATTATCTTTTCCTTCTTTATAATGAATTCCCTAAAATTCATCACATTTTTATCATTATATTCTAATATATATCAAACCTCCAATTCAACGCTATGGGTTGTAGCGCACACAGTAAAATTCTTTTAATTTCCGTGATCAGTGGAATTGAACCTGCGTTCTCACCATAATCAGGCTATATGAGGGGTGTTATTTTTTTTGTTCCCAAGTGCTGGAAATAATCAAATGCGTAGGGCCCAAAACTTGATATTAAAATTTTCCCACTGTTGCCAATAAAATTGTTCATTCATCATTTCCCAATATTTATTGATTGATCTACTAATAACTGTTGAACCAGTAATCGTACTCAAAGATATGTGAGACGTATATAAAACTTATGCTCATCAAGTGTCAAAATTCCATTTTCCTTTAACGAATCATATAGGATAGATTTATTCCCAACTAAATCAAAGAGTCTTTCTAAAATTTTGCGAGCACCGGAATGATTTGCGCCGGTATGATTTTTGAATCCATACTGTTCAATTCAACTGAGTGCATATCAAAATGAACTGAGTGCATAATTTGCACTAAATTAAATGTTATCAAAATGTTGGTCTCTAGATGCATGTGAAATATGACTATAAAACATCTCCAAAGCACCTGACCACCTATATCAGAAACCATACGCCTGAAAAGATCATTATTATACACATAGTTCGTACCTGACCACCTATATCAGATACCATACGCCTGAAAAGATCATTATTATACACATAGTTCGTACCTGACCACCTATATCAGAAACCATACGTCTGAAAGGATCATTATTATAAACATAGTTTCCGTCAAAACCAAGATCACGCAATTTTTCATGTGGCTCATATCTAGCGAACGTAATGGAAACCGAAGGGTTGGATGTAATAATTTCCCGGAGTGGACTCTCAATAGTACCCGTTAAGATTGGATCAAAAAAAACACTTTCCCTGAGGGATAACTCGTTGAGCCAACAATAGACACAAGATTACGAAATGTCGGGTATAATTTATTGACTTCATCAATATCGATAATAATTGCAAGACAATTAATATTTCTATCTTCTTTAAGCTTATTTTCATAAATGGTTTCTAAGCACAATCTTAACTGATTTGTATTTCCTTCCCCGATTATGTCTCTAAACCTGTTGAAGTTCAGATTTTTGTTGCCATTTACAAAATAACTGTATAAGATCCTCAAAGCTTTCGAAGATTCTGCTTTAATATCCACGTCAAAATCTGATGCCATTGATCCATTTCCATAGGTAACGTTCAAAAAAAACTGTTTTCCTAATCTAGATTTAACATCTTTATCTCCAGAATATAAAACTTTGTAGTGAATAATATTAACACGCTCCCACAAATAATGACTTTTCCTGTGCCTGAACCCACCCAGTTAGGAATGGGATTGGATAAAGGTTGCGATCTTCTGGTGGATTTTCAGAGAGAAAGAGCTTACATTACTACATTCTGTGCCACCTCCATTCCTAAGAGTTTCTATAGTGTCTTCACGATCACACAAGGTAAATCGAGCACCAAGCGTTTCAACCAGCTTCACAGGTTTTATCCCATCGGTTGGCATTTATTTTTGTATCCACTCTAAAGTCGAGTTTAGATCTCAAAAAATTGGTTGTTTGAGGCACAACTGTTCGAGGCATAACTACATTAATTAAAAAATTAAAAAAAAATATGACGAAAACTCTAACATTTAAATTGTGGAGTAAACCATTGGGAGACACTTACTAGCAGCGGCGGAAATATATACAATGATGTGAACGTCCTCTTTATCAATTGTTTTCTTTTCAAAATCATACTTGGTAAAATAACTTTCATCGAGATTTCATACGCTCGCCTCCAAGATGTGTTATAATGTCATCTTCAGAAGAAAACACTTTAAGACCATTTTAATTACTTTCAACCTTTTTACCATCAACCTTCCAAAGTTTCAGAGCGTCAGGTTTAATATTTTCATCACTCATTTGACGAGAGACAAGATACTCGGTATGTGAATTTAAATTTTAATTAGAATACTGTTTTGATCGTTGATAACAATGATTTCATTGCCAACATCAATTGAGAAAGATTTGTCAGAAGTCTCGCCTTAGAAGTAAACAATTTAATGACATTTGAATTTTGAAGATAATTCTGTAAAGTTATAAAATGAATTTTTAGAGAAAGTATTATTTTTAGAGAAAGAGCTTTTGAGAAAAATTGAGAAATTTCGAGGGTATATACTGTATATACCTGTAAAAACCTTTCTTGAATTCATCGTGACTAATAATAAAATAAATTCTTGATTAATGGCTTATTATGGGTTCTAAAATAATTTTATCAGTAAAAAATTTATGCGAAAGAAAATGATCAAATATGATTTGCATGTAAATTTATCCAATCTTTCGGTTGTACTGTTAACCGTATTTGATGATTTACTAGCCTATTTCAAACAAGAATTGGATCTATAATTATAAAACACTTTTGATTGGCGCAATAATAACCGATTGCACGTGTCCAGTGGAAGCTGAAGGAAGTGACTTCAAAATATCTGTGTAAGACTATTTTTATTCTAGAAGCCGGATCATGTTGTCATGTTTGGGTATAGTTCTTTATCATTAAATTTTAATAGATCAAAATACGTACGTACTACGTATGTCATAATTTACGCAATTACACAAAATTACAAAATTACGTAAATTAACGTACTTTATACATACAATTATACTTAAAATTATTTAATCATTTATTTAAGAGTAATTATCAAAAATATTTATTATTCAAAATATTTATTATTCAAAAAGATCGAATGTTTATTATTTGATATGTTAATTAATTATTTTTTGGTTATTGAATTTTAATATTCTTGGAATTTTTTTTTTTTTTTAAAAAAAATTCGATTTTTTTTTTAATCCTATTCATAATAAATAATAAAATTTGCGGGGAAGAAGAAAATATATGAAGTAACGGATAATAATGAATTATTATTATGATGGTAAAAAGTATATATAATCTACTAACAGCCAATGAATCACTTTTCCTTTAACCCATTGTAAATAAATAGATCAATGAAAATAAAAAAAGAAAAAAAAAATACCTATAAAAATTTTAAAATATTGAAATAATTTGTTAAAATGTCAATGTGTATATATATATATATATAACTGGTTATATGTTCTCGGTATAAAAGAAAGATAAAATTGGATTAATTCGTGTAATCGTTCTTCTTTTTTTTTCGGATTTGGTCATATATATTTGATCAATATATTTTTTGGTCATTAAAAAAAAGTGAAAAAATTCATTTGATTCCCTTCTCTCATGATAAAATGAATTTAAATGGCGCAACCGTCGTTAACGTCATTCTTTACTCCTTATTTCTTCAAAGGCAACTATAAGATAAATCTTTAAATTGATAAACATGATAAAACGAACTTAAGTTAGTATATAATTAACATTAAATGAATAATACTTTACTTTCTATGGGAAGTTACATACCAATTAATGATAATCTCTGTTACCAATCACATAATAGTACAAGCGCAACAACCTTTAGGTGGTTGTACATCACCATCTTTTTCCGATAAAGGATTCGATTTTCCACCAAAATTGAAGCATAAGAATTTTTTCCCTTTTTTACGATCTTTTTCAGAAGGTTGAGGAGGTTGTTCAACTTTTTCAGAATGTTCATCATCATAACCATCATCAACACTACCATCAGCTTTTCTTCTCTTTCTATCAGTAGCCATATTAGCAGGTACGCTGACAGTTTTCGTTGTATTCTTTTTATCAAATGTTATTGTAGCTGTAAATTTATATGGTGGTTGATCATATTTTGATAAAGTATAAATCATTGTATAGGCAGTGGGTCTCGGTTTAGCATTATTTGGGACGACTTTTCCACCTTTTGACTTTGGAATAATATCAACTGATCCTATACTATTTGATTCAGCACTACAAAATAGTGTAACTTCCCATTGATGGCCACCATCCGTAAGTTGAGTATGTGTAGATTTTAGGTACATCTTTTAATGATTATCTTTTGTTGTTAAGTGAAGATAAAAGTAGGTGAAGTTTTGAGTGAAATAAAAAATAAAGGTTTGAAATGCAATATTATGAAATTTATGAAATTTATGAAATTTACAGCTAAAAATTTTAACGTTTTTACGAAAGTAAAACTATTATTTTATTTTTTTTGTTTCTTTTAAAAAATAAAGTTTTGTTTCTTTTAAAAATTAAAGTTTACTTTTTTTAAAAAAAAAAATAAAAATAAAAATAAAAAAAGAAAACTGTCACAGACAAGTTTATAAAATAAAATAATAAAGAGAAGAGTAGAGTTGAAATGGAGTTTTTTTAAAGTTTTTTAAGTTTAATTTAAGGATAAAGTAAAGCTGGCACTGCCAGAAACAAATAAGGGATGGGGTAATACTAATTTTGTGATTTTTGTGTCGACAAGAGCTTTGTGTAATGAAATCGGGGAGAAGGGAAAAAAAAAAGATTAAAGGAAAAGATGAACGAATTACACTATTTAGTGAGAACAAAAAAAGACCGAGTAAGTATCAAAAAAAACCTCATACTTGATTTTTATTGTTACAAATTTTCTTTTTATATTTATAACAATATAAAGTCATATTTTATCATTACTATCATTTGTTCAAAAGAACCTAACCATAAATAGAAATTATATAGGGATAGATTTGTGTTCATTCTTGTTACATGATTTTAGTTTCGCGTGGTTTGTATCAGAATAAATTCTATAACAGATAACCTTTTTTATTTTAAAACTCTTCATTTTACGTTAATTTGTTTGGTAATTTGTTTCTTTATGAGAGACATTTGCATAATCTGCATTCAATAAATTAATTATGACATGGATATACTATAAGTTTAAATAAGATTTACGCAAAAGTCCGTTATACATTACATTTTTTTATATACTTGATCTTATTTGTAACACAAGTAAATAATGCAATATATATACATATATATACTAAACTCTAGAATTATTCCTTTGTATGTAAGGAAAATTTATATTTCTTTTTTTTCTTTATACTTTCTCTTAATCAATTTAGAGAACAAAGCGTTTTAACACAATGACTAAATAATTGTGTCAGAGAAAGTTTTGCACTAGACAAAATGAAGGTAAAGGGAATTTAATTATTTAAGAGAAGATGACGGACCGAATTAATACCGACATTAATAGAAATCAAGAATTTGAACTAATTTGGTTTAATAGTTGAAAAAAAAAAAAAAATTTAAAAAAAGATTCGAAAAAGTAAACAAAATTTCACAAAATAGGAAATTTTACTAAAATTACCTGGGCTGAACTTATAAAAATAAATTTGTCACACCAAAAAAAAAAATCACCCGATTTTTTTTTTTAATATTTACTTTTATACTTTTGGCCAGTATTATGAATAATAATTTTGGCTGATTATCCAATTTCAAATGTTTATTCTTTATTAGTTTATTACGTAGAAAAGATATTTAAACATGATAATCACGTGAATCAAAATAAATTCTTCAATTTTGGCCAGAATTATGATGATCAAACTTAAAATGTTTCATATTTTGGAAATGAGTAGATCTAAAATAATTAATATTCTTTTATTTTGTTTCAAAAAGGAAGAATCATTCTTATCTATGTTACAAGGTAAGATAAACCGGAGCTACAAGGATTTATAAGGATTATTAACAAATGCACGAGTTTTTCAATTTCGGGACACATGCAAACACGCAATTAACGGAAATTTCAAAACCTTTTCATTATTTCAATGGATAATCAAAAAAATTTGAAACTTTAAGATCCGATGGGAATAATTAAATATAATAATAATAATAATAATACATGTAACAATGTAACAATAATAATAATAATGATAATGATAATGATAATAATATATATCGTATAATATATAATACCGTATAATATATAATACCGTATAATATATAATACCGTATAATAATATATCAATATCAATATATATAATAAATATAATAAATATAATTAACCAATTTTACCAAATTTTTATGCACTCCACAAAAATTTTCATGCAAATAATTAGCTGTCATAATAATTAAATTTGTTTGTCCACATGATAAAATTTTTATTCGGTAAAGTAATTTACTAATTTAAATTCAATAAATTCAAGTTTTAATTTTCGTAACAAAAATCGACGGATTATCTCCAATTAATAAACAATTACGGGAAATAGTTTGCAAATTATGGAGTACAAGCATTGCAGAACCTGGGTACCATGTATTACAATATTATTACAATATTATTAACTCAGGTGACGAAATTATACCTGTAACAATAATTTCGGAAAGGAAATTAAGATTTTTTAATTAATGATTTACAACACAGAAAATCGCATTAATAGTTAAACCACAGACCGAAAATCTCATAATAATCATAATTAATTATTAAATAATTAAAAAATATTAAAAAAATATATATATTTTTTTTATTTTGAAACCCATAATTAAATCCAAGGTAGGACTTTCTTTAAGAATATAGTTACAATGGCTTAAATGGCTTAATAGATTTTTCTTATCTTGATTTGGAAATGAAAAAAGATTCTGATTGTTACACTTTATTACTTTCAATGTATAAAGTTTAATATTAAGATGATGATGAAGAATATTTGCAGAATGCAGGAGATTTTGCATCTTTAAAATCTTGATAATAAAAACAAATTAAACAAATTTGTTGGATTAAACAAATTCGTTACTAGATTTATACTTTTAATAATTTTTTTAGAATCACGTTTATTTCAATTAAATGAACAAAAAAGGTTTTGTTCACCCCATTTTATGATATACACATAAATAGTAATCATGATTCCATGATTTCCTTTTTACTCAATGATCATTACCTTTTTGTTTTAATTATCAATTACCTTGAGTAGTGCTGTAGTGTAACAAGTGTAACAATCATTACCACGTGTAACATTGCATAATTACGTTATCTAAGGGTTTTTTTAACTTTAAAGACGTTAATTTAAAATAATTTAATAATGTTTTACCGCAGTTTTTATAACTGTTCTCTCATTATCCATGTAAAAGATAATATAATTGATTCTTTTATTATTCTTATATTTTTTTTTTTTTATGTTCTATCAAAAAGATAATTTAATATTTTTACCTATTCTTTTATTATCATTGAAAACTTGCTTTATATTTACTTTATTTAGTAAGTTACCCGATTTTTAGTTAGTCTGAAATCATTGTATAAATAAGTAATTTCCGGTTTTTTTTTTTTTATGTTCTAACGATTTTCTAAAAGATCTAATAATAAACGGTTAACATATTGTTATTTTTTATATTAATTAGTTTTATTTTTTTATTTGTTAAAATATTTTTTTTTTACTTTTTATTTTTTTTCCCTTTCTTACCAAAAGTATTTATAATATACTTTCTAATATATTTTTTTTTTTACTTCATTCTTTTACCAATTTATTTATTCTGTCTCGTCCATATCTTATTTAAATATAATATCATATTAATATTTTTTTTTCTTTAAAAGTTGATTTCAATTTTCAAACTGTATCTTAGTTTTTGACTTTGCTATACGTTAATAGCTATATGGCGGAACCAAAAAACTTTATAATGCAACTGAGCGATTATTCATTTCTTGGTAAGTTAACCAGAAAGGAAGAGGGGGTTTTTTTTAGAGTTAATAATTATTGAATAATGCAAGGTATATGTATGTATATGCTTACTAATATTAAATCCGATAATATAGAACGATCAGTTCATGATATTTATATATGGATATGGTTTATCGTACATGTATGGAGAGTAAGTAATTAGAAAATTTGAATTAATTGGTTTTAAATTTAAATGTTTGAAATAATTTTTAAATGATTTTTTTATTTCTTTTTCTTTTTTTTTTCTATGGTTAAAATAGTGTGATAGATTTGCTTCATTAAGCTGGAAACGCATATCGTCATTAGAATTAAAATCATTTGTTACCCTATTCATATTAATTGCATTGCCTTTAGGATCATTTTATGATATTGTATCTGTAAGTAATTAATTACGTTTCTACTTATTTATATATATTATTACAATTAATTTATTTCGTTGGTTTGTTATTATTATAGACAAAGATAACGTATATAGAAGGGTTTTATAAGTTTCAAAATAATGCGATAAGGGGAAAACCAAGATATTTATGGTCAGAAGATGATAAATTATGGTTTATACCAAGTTATTATATATTCATGACTGGATTAAGTTTTCAAACGTGAGTATTCCTTATATTTCTTTAAATAAATTACTTTAAAAATAATGATTTTATTTATTTATTTATTTTTTACTACGTGTAGGGTCACATTGTTCTTGTTACAATGTTTTTGGAATTACTTAACAAATTCAATCGCACAAACATCTTTCATCTCAAGAGGTGAATTTGCCGTTTATATTGTGTGGGGAATAATAAGTGTTTCAATATATCCCATATTACCTTACGTATTTAGTAAAAATGAAATATTGTTAGAGGTAATTTATTCTTCAAATTTAAATCTTTTTCTTCTTTATTCTTAATTTTTACTAACTTTCATTTATATTAGGCTATACCTCAATTGGTTTATGCAACTCAATTATTGATTTTAGTATTACTCGGTATACGTACTCATTTAAAATTCCTTGAGTTAATTAAATTAACTTCTTCTTATAAAAATTCCGCAAATATTATTGCAAAAATAAGATATTTTATTGATATGAATAAATTATTAACTATATCACTTATTGTTACTACCGTATCATATTATTTATTAAGCATTGATCTTTTAACTTCCGCAAAAATTATTAATAATTCAAAGGTTGCAAGGTAAATTATTTTATGGATTTTTTTTAAAAAAAATTTGTTAATTTATAAAGTCAATTTTTTAAAAAAATATAATTTTTTTTTTTTTATTCCTCTCCTCAATAGTGATCTGTTGGCTGCGCATGTTAATTTTGCGTCAGTAATAGAATGGTTAGCATTAATACTTATATTTTATCCAAGAAAAGGTTTTGTTGGTACAGGAGCTGGTGGATCTACTTTTAATACGAATCTTGGTTCAAGTAGTGTTAATCCATCAGTTAATCCAGTTTCACAAATTTCCTATTCGAATAGTACAAAATTAAGTAATGTACCTCCTGGTACTGGAGCTGGTATTAATTTTAATAATGAAAATCGTCAAAAAACAAATTCTATTGTTGATGTCAATCAAGCTAACAACAATTATCAGAATACTATTAAAACTGTACCAATTAGTCCTGATTATAATAATAATAATGTTAATAATAATAATAATAATAATAACAATAACAATAATAATAATGAAAGTGAAAATTCACAAAAACAAATTTTACAAAATCAATCATCATTTAAACGTTTTAAAAAGAAATCTATTACTGCTTCACCAATTCCTTCATCAGATAATAATTCAGATATTAGTAATTCAGAAAATAATGATGGAAATAATAAACCAGTATACCTTAAACGTAATATATCAATAAGTAAAGATGGTAAAATGGTATATGGTGAAACAAAACCATTGGGTAAAGTAAAAGGTGCAGAATTTGTAGCAGTTGAAAAAGCTGATCCTAGTTTTATACCTAATTATTATTTTTCAAATGAATTAAAAGATAGAAATGGTAATGTAATTAAAATACCATCTACTATTAATGAACAAAAATTTAGATACAAAATTGATGATGATGATGATGATGTAGGAAACAGAAATAATAGTAATAATGTTAATGGTAGTACTAGTGGTGGTAGTACTAGTGGTGGTAGTGATCAACAAAGAATTAAACAAGAGGTGATGCAACAAAAGACAATAGAATCACAACAAGGTGCAATAAAAGAAAATAATAATAATAATAATGTTATTACAAAAAATAATGTTAATGATAAACAAGATTCTGATGATGATGATGATGATGATGAATTCTTTTATGCTATGTAAAAAAAAAAAAAAATGCACTATTTTCTTATTTTAGTTGATTTTTATTTATTTTTATTTTTAATTTTTATTTTTTTATTATTTTATTGTATAAAAATTAATAAAATAAGATAACACATACTTATATGTAATTTAATCATAAGTGATATTATGAGGGGCAGATCATTGAATCGTGTTGTCACGATTTCTATATATATATGACAATTTTTTCATAAGAAAGTTGGCAAAAAAGATAAATTGTTCTTCAAGATCTTGGAGACGAAAATGTCGTTATATGTGTATACCCACCCAAGTTGATGATATTAATGTAGAAATTACAGATTTACAGTGATTTGTTACGTTGCTACTAAATGAACATGATATAATAATTAATATTTTGAACTCGGATTGTTTCATTATTCATCCGTGTGACGTGTGACCTCATGTTAATATCATTCATTCACTTATTCTTTTTGATCTATTATTATAAAGTACAGTACTTTTGCAAAAGATCAGTGGAGACGTGAATAAGAACAATTTTCTTATAACATTAGAAAATTCTTCTATTCCTTTGTAATTTTGATTCTATACAAAAATTATTGAATAAGTATTCGAGCTGATACTTCTGTTATGTAGAAAAAGTAATGTGCACTCCGATACCTTGGATATGTGTGAATAGTCTATGACTACAACATTGTCGAATAAAAAATATGAGAAAATGGCATAATATGGATTTTTCATAAAGGTAAAGGTAAACAACATAAAATACTTCACCTTGAGAAACGATTAATATATGATCAGCTCTACCATGGATAAAAGATCAAAAGCTCAATACAACATTATATATAATTATCGCATAAAACTTTTATTTTTTTTAATAAAATTGGATACTATACTATTTGTTACAACTAACAACTTTTATTTTGAAAATTTTTTGTAAGATTGAATTGAAAAACTAAACTCCACATGGGTACATTTGAATTCGGTATCTGCTACTGTTGTGGTAGGACAGTATGTCCCGTCAAAGTCCAATTTCAATTGTCCCATCCTGTTATTATCTCAATTTATTTAATGTTATATGTTGCAAATTTCCCTCTTATATTTCTTCTTCTTTGGGTGATTTCAACCGCATTTCTTGAAAATGTCAAATGTCGTGTTGATCGACTAAAAATAATAAAAATAATGTATTTTTAATATTTAATTATAGATAATTCAATAATTCCTTATACTTACTACCTTCCCAGAATCGGGTTTAGAATTCATTATAGAACATACTGCTTTCGCTATACGCAACTTCAACAATAAGGTTGTGCCAGGGCTTATCCTAATGGCATTAAATGTTAAAGGTCAGAGATTTAACTTATGACAAACAGATAAAACTTAATTAATATGCAGTATCACTGAACATAAAACATCACATTAAATAAAAGCTACTTACATGTGATAACATAAATAATCTTCTAAACCGACAAATAATTTTTTAAACAAGGACTTTACCAACAAAGTTAGAGCACCCGAATTGTAAGCTTGGAGTAGACACGAACAAACCTGTTCGCGTAGGTTACGGAAGGCCGATTCATTAAATAATAATAACCTTTCTCCATCTCAAACTCAATTCAACTCGGATCAGAAATACTACTATTCTTCAGGCAACACAGAACATTTTTTCTCCACAGCAATTCTCCTAAATCAGAAAGCAAATGAGGAGTTACTTTCCTTTACTAAGATACCTTTTCTTTTAAAGCAGTGAAAATTTCTGGTCAATTAAAAGTTCTTTTGCTTTCTTTAGAAAGTGATCAGTCTAAAAAATGCAAAAAAGGTTAACCTTGGCAACTTGCCAGACGAGAAAATGGAAAAATTTTAAAAAAAATTACCTTTTAAGAGATTTTGTTGTTGAGAGTAAATGAGACCTTGTGGTTAAGAGAAATTCCAAGGAAATACAATGTGTGTGTCTTCGCCTCCTGAATCTTTAATAAAATCTGAGCGCTAATAAGTTATGCGAGGGATCATAACTATTTACCCGCCCTTTCAAGTAAAATACAAGAGCATTGTTAGCTTGTTCTCATAATCAGTTCCTCATCATTAATAAAATAAAAATTAAATACACACTCCCGACCAAAAAGTTTAGGTCCCCCCAGTTTTAGTAATATTAAATAAATTATAATATTTAATTAATTACCAAAAAACTCTCTAGGTTATAATCTCTTAAATAAATATAAATTACTTATAAATTAAAAGCTACAAAAAGGACCCAATTGGGATAGAAAGTAAACGCAGAGATTTAAAATGTTTCGGTGCATCAGGTAAAAGTTGAAGCAAGGGAAATTGTTCTAAAGATAGACGGGGAGAAGTTAATACAAAATTTCGCGTCAGTAGTTGTTGAATCAACTGTTAAACATATATGTAAATCATTAACTTATTTAGGCTGATCCAATCGCGAAATTTGGAATATCTGATATAGTCTCTTTTTATCTAAACTATTAAACTATCAAGATTTAGCATTTATTTTATTGTAACTGCTCTAGTTAAATAGTTAATGATTTATTATAAAAAAAAAAGCTTTATTCTTGTAATTTATGAATACTAGCATAGTAATTTTAATTGATTTAAGAGATTACAACCTAGAATTTTTTTTTAATTAATAGCAGCAGATAGTATAGTACTTTTGGACTTTTAGTACAATTTAATTAATATATTACTAAAAATAGAATGGCCGGGAGACGGGAGCGTCCGTTCAAAAAGTATAAATTAAAATAGATCTTAATATATTATATATAGGATCGATCCGACGGATAAATTATATACGCGTCTCGCGAACCAGGTATGGAAATTCCCATGGAATTTGCAGGAATCTATCGGAATCTATGCCAATTTACATTAATAATACTCATAAAATTCCACGGAGTTGCACATCACACTGGGTATGGTGGTATGGTTACGCAATGAATAAAGTTTTTTAATCAATCAAAGCGCGTGATCATACTTCTCTCTGCTGTAAATGTTTCATTAATTATGCGATCGCAAAAAATTTTTAGGACGGCTCTTCTTATTGCTGATACGCCACATCCAAACATCGTAGAGAAATATGGAGACTATTATACTCAATTCACAAAATTTTTACAAAAAGGTGTTGTTTCTAGTAAAAAACAAATTGCTTTGGATATTAAACCTTATGACGTAACAAAAAAGGAATATCCCAGTGAACAAGAATTACTCGATACCGAAGGAATAGTTATTACCGGTTCCGGTATGAATCAGACTGAATTAAATATTATTTCTCAAATATAAACTAAAAACGCGTTTATTCCTAAAGCCGCGTCAGCACATGAAGATATTCCTTGGATTAATAGTTTAGTTGAATTTGTAAGCTCAGTTATAGAAAAACGTCCAGAAGTTAGGATGGTTGGAATTTGTTTCGGACATCAGATTATTGCCAGGGCAAGAGGTGGTCAAGTTATTAAGAATCCCTTAGGTTGGGAGGTAAATTAAAATTCAATTTGTTATCTTGATTTTTTCAATTTTCGCACAAAGATTAATTACATATTTAGGTTGCAGTCACGGAGGTTTCTTTAACAGATATTGGAAAGGAAATTCTTAAGACTAATAGAAAAAGTGTGGTATGTTTCATTAAATAGATTAAAATGTTGTTTTTTTACTTTGATATTTACGAGTTTACAATTTTTAAATTATTTCTATATTTTCTATTTAAAAGCGACTTCAAGAAATGCATAAAGTAAGTTTTATTCTATAAAAATTTCTTCGAACAATTTAATAATTTAATAATTTAATAATTTTTTTTATAGGATATTGTTTCTAGTATTCCTCCAGAGTTTTCCAATATTGGTTTTACTGAAATATGTCCTATCCAAGGAATGATCAAAGATGATCACGTGCTCACATTTCAGGCACATCCAGAATTTGATAGTGGCGTAGTCAAAGAAATTGTTAATTTACGTCGGGACAAGCGGATTTTCTCTTCTGAACTTGCACAAAAGTATTTGACAGCAGCAGATTATGATGTTGATGATGCATGGGTTGGTCAAAAATGTGTTGAATTCTTGACAGGTTAATATATTTATGATTATTAAAGACTGTTCCAAGCCAATTCTATGTTGGAATGTCCTTGTTTTTCGGTTTATGAAAATTTTAACTAATTTCCTAAATTTTATACAGGTGGAATTGAACCAGGCGTCATTGATAGTTAATGAAGTTCTTAGAATGTAATTTACTAGAATATATCAATTTGTCCAACATCAATGGCAAAAATTAAAATATTTATAAATGTATCATTAATTTCAATTTTGTAACCAGGTCTGTATAAAAGTAAAATAAAAAAAAAATTATTTTTATCGTATATATTTAAGACGTCTCAAAAATCTAGAATCATTTACAAGGAGAGAAATTTAAAGATCAGATCATAAACATGTTTGTTCCAAAAAATTATAGCAAATTAAATTTTATTTTCTTGGTATAGTCAATATAGTCAAGCATTTTACATAACGTATCTATTAATATCATTATCAACACCTATTATAATTACGTTGTGGCAATCTCTGTTAAATTAATTGTAACATTTCATTTGAAGTTCTTGCCCACCTCAACTCATAAATTAAGTAGAATTGCCTCTATAACTATAATTCACAAGTATGCTTCCATCGTACCATCCCAAATTAAACGTAAAAGTAGTATCAAATTTTGTATAGACCCTTTTTATCTCCATTTATTTTTTTTTATAAATTTAATTTATTAACTTCTTAATACTGACTTCTTGACATTTAACATAATAAAGGTATATTATGCTAATCATTCAATATTATTAATTGTTTCTCGTTATAAAATTCTTTCCTATTAATTAAAAGTAAGAGAAGATCTGTACTTTAAGGATCGGCCGCAACAGTGCCATCACCAATATCACATCACCAATATCGCATCACCAATATCGGCCGCAACAGTGTCATCACCAATATCGGTAATGTAAAATATAATATTTTAATAGGGGGTGGACCGATCAGTCCATGGCCTCAGCTCTGGTCCATATGTATGAAACGCAAACATCATCTCGATGTTAAGAAATGTAACCAAGGAGACGCATATATCATCCCTTTTGCTATCTCTTACAGATTCAAAACTTGCTTTAATTCAATCGAAATAAATTATTATATTCTACCCATAATAATTTACAGTCCAAATCCAACGAAAAGCGGTATTGCGGTATTTGAGTGTTTATTCCCTTTTGTCACCTTACACCTTACAAATGCGCGAAACATTAACACTGGTATCAAGATATGCCTATTTTAACGCATTACCAATTACTCTTATATGAAAAAGAAAGAGGATGAAAGGATTAATAAAATTATTTTTTAATAACAAACGCGTTAAAAATAAAAATAAAAAATCTATTCTCGTAATTTAAACATGCTCACCAATTATGATCTGGATATTGAAAAGATTCAACAACATAACCAATAACAAATTTTCTATCTAATATTTAAAATTTTAGCATATGAGGTAATCCTTCATATTTGACTTCAATAATAAAGTAAAGCAGCTTCTTGTGCAAAGGGCTATCATCAATCCAAATAATTTGTCTTATAAATTGTACTTTATTATTACTTCATAACATTTATTTCTCCTGAAATATTATTTGTGCTAAAAAAATCCTTTAACCCAATACTTTACTTAATAAAATTTTTGTACAAAAGAAAAATATACCGTACATATATGCCGTTTTCATAAAAAATCTTGATATTCTCTAACTATTAAGAATCAATTTTAATGTTCTTGCCCCATCATGTTCAATTCTAGTAGAAAACTTTATAAGATTTGGACAAAAACTTGCTACTGCTAAATTTAATGAGTTGTCATTCCGTTTGATGTGATATTATAGTCATATAATTGTAATCAATCGTAACTTGTTTCATAGTTGACTTCTTTACCAACGTTTTCTTGTCATCCTCCTAAATCCAACATTTTTACTCTAGATACATTTCTTTCATTTATGCTTGATAAAATCAAATTATATCATTCATCTATATATGTCAATATTAAAATTTATATGCACTATAAACCCGACGCTAATGATTTTCTATAAAAAATCCGTTTGAAACGTCTAGTAAACTAATAATAAAACTATTCCTTTAATTAATATATTTTCAGATTTACGTATCATTTTACACTTTTGTCACACTAGTCGCCATTTATAGTTGCTAGTACTTCCTTTCGACGTGTAATGTTGTGAAGAATCCGACAAGTTGTGATTCATCTTTCTACAATCGGATGACATGTTTTTGTCGGTTGCGTTTTTTTTTTGAAATAGAAAACAGCTTGGATCTTTTAGTACATAAATACTATCTTTAGTGAAATTCTCATTATTGTTGATACAACATCAACCCTTACTATATCTCGTCTTTATGTGTTCCGACAAATTGAATGGTATGTTATCCACATTATTGTTGGCCGGTTTGACAAACTAACATCCGTATTTAAATAAAAAAAAACTTACGGCCTTAGCAGGACCTGAGTTCATACATCAACATGAATTTGCCATAAAACATTCTTCAATACTGTAAAGTGATAAACTATCGAATTAAAGACTAACAAAAATATGCAGCAAAACTATTCTCCTATAAAGAGTTACATACCAAATAATTCCATCGATTAATACTGTGCTTTAAAAGGATGTTGATTGATTTTCACATTTTCAACGTTATTAATGCTTATAATGTTGTTAAGCATGCATATACGTGAATGTTGTGGTACTGTTATTGAAACATGCAATAAATTAATACTGCGCAGACGAAGAATACTTACATAACCTCATTATAAGTACGATAAATTGTATTTCATCCGATGTATTTCGGATTATCTAATTCCAATATACAAAATTCTAAGTTCTATATATAATGTATAAAAAGTTCCGCCAACAGGTGAGACCCCAACTCAGATTATCAGGATAGGGGGCAGTTATATAAATGTGATAATCTTTATGTCGATGAATATCATCAATTAGGAAAAAGGACATGCACAACTTATTAATACCCACATGATATTTTTTATAATCATAAGAACTTAGCCGTAAACATAAATGGGTTAATTGAGTAAATATCAAAAATAATCTAATTTTTATAAAGAAAAAAAGAAGAATTCTTCGTTACATAAATGAAAAAAAATGAATGTTAATTCAATTATAAAATTGTACTTTGATGATAGTTTCAAATAATTAAGAATTATTATTCATTTTAATGTATCCCGAGCTTATTTATGAAAAAAAATTAACTATAGATACTGTTTGTAATAAATCTAATTGCGCTATTTTTATTTGTATTTTGTAACAATCTGACTCGTATCACTTTTTGTTTGGATCAGGGTCTTCGCTTAAGCGGATTAGATTTTTTGAACTTGTGTTACATATGTTATTTTAGCTTATCTGTTATTTTAAATAAAAAGTTCTAACTGATCGACTCAATAAATGAGTGTTTACTCCAAAATGAATTTGTTTATAGTAATTTTTTAATATGCCAACTCGAAGCATTAACTATAAAAGGCACAAGTTACAATATGCCTGTTTCTTTGTACAAGACACATGTATAATATAAAGATATATGAAGGCTAATATGGGTTACCGGATTAGACATAAATGAATTTCAAAAGGAAATGAATTGCTAAAGGAGACTAATCATAATCACATGATTTCCACAATTTTTTGGATCGTCATTTTTTTAAGGTTGGGATTATTTTAGAAGAGAGCGTCAAAAAAATATGTTGTACTGCAAAAAACCAAATGTTCATATATAAGCCAACAAAGCCCAAATAAGAATGCAAAATTTTGTACACCATTGTGGATCAACCTTCTCTCTCCCGTCGACATTCGACATTTGTACAAACATCATTGTTAAAATATGGCGTCAGGTATCAAAAATATAACGTTCTAAATTCTTTTTTTTTTTTTCGCTCTTTCTCCTATTTATTTGAAACAAGTAATAACAATATGTAATTAGTAAAATAATTGCTTATTCTTTTTTTTTTTATTTTTATCATTTTTTTTTT